AGCTTCTACAGCTCTTGGAATTGACACTTTACCTAATAAATGGTAATAAAATATAAATTATAAATTATTAATTAATTAACACCGAGGCTCTGATGAGAATATTATTAAGTATAGTTGATATCCGCAAGTTTTCTCCTATCCCAACGATTGCCATCATCACGCGCCATTGCAGAGAGCGCGGCGCCACACCTCGTGAGGCTTCACAGGACACGAGCGAGCCATCAGATATAAAATCGCCACGCTTCGCGAGCACGGATTCTGGATTCTTTTCTACCCATCTCTCCGCACGCTCCCGCAATTTGTTAAGCCGTGAGTGCTTGCGATGCAGTCGTCGTGTTCACCTTGAAAGTTATTTCCTTCATTCGCAGCGATTATAGGAAGTACCATCTTTATATAAGTAACTTCAGATAGCAATCTTCATTCATTTTCTCGCATGAATTAATTTTGACCTTGATATAATTAAAAAATTTAACTTTAAATTATATTATACAATATTACTAATTTTATTGTATTTGTAAAGTGTATTCTAGAATGCTATCGATAATAAATTTTACATATATAAATGAGCAAAGTCATTAAATGCCAAACCTTCAGTACCATTAGGAGTAATCATGCTAAAAGAAACGAGTGGAAACAAACTTTTAAAATTTTTATTTGTTTTATATATCGGTTTGAACCCCCTGGTGATCTCAGTATCATAACAGAGAGTGTGATTTCAATTTTTAGATAATTAAATTATTTTGTGTTATATATTTTATTTAAGTGTTTTTTGAGGAGACACATACACACAATTAAACTACTTCATATCATTTCAAGATTGAATTTTACAGCATGTGCTTATTCTTTCTTTTTAAGAAAGTTAATAGTTCAGTCTGTGTTCATAAATTCTAGATTATACATATAAAAGTGTAATATGTATGAAAAAACTTGTGTTATATATATATTACGAGTAGCTCATTTGTACGTAAAATTTACGTATCAATAGCAATACTATAATAACTCAGTAGCGATAATATTCTAGGATTAAATAACAATCCGGTAGACATTAACAAACAGTAACATTATATCAACATTGTAATTTCCCACTCAACAGTATAAATATAATGTAACATGCACATGTTGTACGTAACAGTTATGTTATTGAGTATAGGAAATTATAACATTGATGTATAGTATGTTACTGTTAGTTGGTGTTCGCTGAGAATGCATGTAAAGATAAGCTGTATGTAGATACATACAACATCATGTACTGAAAAATAAAAACGTACGAGGGTATTTGAAATAGTATGCTAGGACGTTTAGGATTCAAGTAGAGCAGCTTGCTCATTCTAACAGATCCGCCTCATTCCCTAACTTCTTCATCTTCACGCCGTCGTTCTCCATTACACGCGCCGCTTCCGTAGTAACGCGATCGCGGAGATGCTTTCGAGGAACTAAGCTCCAGCGAAGACACGGTCGCGCGATTGCGTGCCAACGGCGATACAAGGCATTTGCTGTGCACGAGCCGCCATGCGAACGAAGATCTTGTCGTTGCGAGCGTTAGCCTCGTGGACCAGATCGCTTGTTCGGTTTTTTTTTTTCCTAGCTGCCGCTTCCTCGCCGACACGAGGTGACCACCTTGGCGAACCGTTTGTCAGCGCGATCAGTCGCGACGACCGAACAAGTATGATCAAATGATGATTGCTTAGACCAATGCGAATTGTCGTCGTGGTTGATTAATGACGCATGCCTATAGTGTTTGTTTTGCGTATAGTACATGTATTATTCTGTTTTTTTCAGCTTTGAATGAAGAGATTTCCTTTCATGCTTCATATGAATATATGTATACATACTTTCTGTTAGAAATATGTTTGCCGTCAATGAACACAGACTTCATAAAAGAGATAAAATAGCTATATATTCTACTGACACGAGAGAAAAATTAGAGAATGTCTAGGGTTATCTGCCACTCTAATAATAATACGCGTCAGTATCTTCTGCATATCGCCCACCCACTACATGAGGATCATCGGGGAAGTAAAAGGCTCTGAATTTCGAAAGGGAGGAAGAGAAAGAGAAGAAGAACGCGAGTCCTCGTCTTTTCTTCGCGGTTAATGCAAGTCAAAGTATTCCGAGTCGCAAGCGCGAACGCAACCCGACAAAGCCAGCTCTGTTCGAGCTCTCATGTTTGCCTCCCCTTCATTTCTTCCTCTTCGTTTTCTTTCGAACGAACTTGCGCTGCTTGAAGCCTATGCGATATCGCGACAGAGAAAGCACACTTGATGCCACTTGAATCGCTTGCCCGAGCTTTGAACTCGTGAGCGCATCTGACTTTCTGCATAAGCTTTATACTATAGGATCAAAGACGTAAAATCCGTAAATAGATTTTAGATTAAGGTATCATTATATTAAGAAAAAACTGCAGAACTCTCTGGCTTCAAACAGTTCAAACTTTTCACATATAGAAAACTGTGAGTCGTAAGAGAAGACAAACGATCGTTGTAAGAAGCAAATTATTGGGTTGTTCGGAAAGTAATTTCGTTTTTCTTTTTCAAGAAAATAAACTTTGAAACGAAACCAAGTCGTTTCATGAATGGTCGAATTTGACAAATTTAGTTTCGTAACAATTTTTCGTGTTGTTATTCGGCGGTTTGCTTTAATCAATGCTTTTATTTTGTCTTTACCAGCTTCAACTTCCAGAACGTGGTGCATCTTTAATATCAAAATTGTTGAAACAAAATTTTACAAACCAGTTTTGACACTGGCGTTCTAAACATCTTCTCCATACACTTCACATAATCTTTCTCTTGCTTGAACAGCATTCTTACGTTTTCGATAATAAAAAAGCAACATATGCCGAAAATGCTCCTTTTTATTTTCCATTTTAATACGACATAAAAAAAAAAACAATTGCACAGAACCAAAACAATTTTTTTTTATAAATAAACCTTGAAATGTTAGCTTTAAAAATATATAATTACAATATGATTTAGAATGAAGTTGACTGGTTAAAATACAATCAATGACACTCGTGGGAAAAAATGAAATTACTTTTCGAACAACCTAATAATTAAAATGATACATTTTAAAGATGTATGTCAACACCTAGCTAGTAAAATGACCATCTACATTAACTTGTAATCAATACTGATCGGTACAGTACACCATTGCACTTCGAGGCCGTTGATAACTCGATATTGTTTGATAAATATTGTTCACGTTATATTTTTTAACACAAACGTTTCGTATCCGAAATTTTGGTACATCAAGTTAATTAAAAAAAATTAAATACATAGTAAAGTGTTTAAAAATATGAAAAATTTGAATAAATTTCCTCTCTTGAAGAGGTTAAAAGAAGGTCAATAGCGATTTGCTACTGACAAATTTGAAAAAAGCAAAAAATTATTGAACAAAAAAAGCTTCTAAAAAAAATGATCCACAATCATACTGCGCGCGCATTTCATTAGTTGTGCCATATTGCCAAGTCTGAGAAGGTAGATATCAACAGAATGACATTTTCCTAAAATTCAGGTATTACAGATCAATTTTTTCTTAAATTATTCGGTAAATTTGTTATATTTTATGTGTTCGTTGGACATTCTTAGTTTATATCAATATGTTTTTTATTTCATTCTTATTATTACGAAAAATATTATACTAGAAAAATGGTCAAGTAAAAAATGTGAGCACTGTTTGTCATAAAAACACGTTACGGAATACTATTTTTGTAATTAATTTCTTGAAAACGGTACCGTAAATCGACTTAAAATTTTATATGTAGATACATGAATGAACACCTTAGTAAAATATTACAATAACATTAACACACACTTCGAGGTTCTGACATACATCTTTAAAACTTTTTCCAAGAATTTTTAAAGATTTATACACATTTGATTTTATTTTGTTTTTATGTGAAACAAAGTCATATTACGAAGAACGGGAGAACGTTCATCGTTCGTTCGATCAGAGATCTCTTGGTCGATCTAAGACATGTCCTGATCGTCCCGAAAGATCTCTTGGTCATTCTGAGAGATCTCTTGGTAATTGAGAAACATATCTTGGTCCTGCGAGATCACTTCGACAGTCGGAAAGAGTGCCAAATCTGTATTGACAACGCCAGTGCTTATTCCACTTTTTTTAAATTAATAAATAATTTGAACCGTATTGTGAAGCGTATCGTTTTCCGATGCGATGTCCACGAAACGGTCAAGATTATCGAATACCACGTGGGTATTAAACTCTTCAGACGTATTAATGCCGGCTGGTGTGGTTTGGTTGTCGTTACAACGTTGTGAACGTCATTTCTGTTTCAAGTACTTTCGCCAATATGTACCCGATTGCATATTGTCCATACCTTTTTAATCGGTAAAATCTTTCTGGAACTTGGTATCAATTTCATTGCCAATCCAAGGGTCAGACTTTTCGGTTCTAATTGATCTTTTGTTAATATTATGTAAATTATGTCACTGCACAAAGATTTTATTTTAATATAATCATCATCAGATTCCTTCCGTCGAATGTCCGGTCCTTGGATAAGATTGCACATGAATTCGAATAACTCTTCGGGAATGTCATATTCTGTAGGAATGATATCGTCTGCGGTTGAATTATCCGGCACATTTCTTTTCTTAATAGATTTTACAATCTGTCTCAATTCATAAGCTACTTCATCTCTTCTTTTCGTATCCTTTTCATCCGCAATCGTGGCCTCGGTAGCTAAAACGGAAATATCAAGATTCTGTAGATAAACGATTTTCTTTGCACGGTGTGCCCACGAAATCTCTATCGTTATCTGATCACCAAATTTCTTCATTATCTTGTTTTCCAAATGATCGGGACGATATTTTTGAAAGTCAACATCCTCAGGATCAATTTCACCTTCACCAAGCTCTAATAAAAGAGCTTTGTAGCGCGATAATAAATCGTTAAAAAACACAACCCTTTTTTTTGAAATTATTTCTAAAACTATGTATGCAGAAAGAGACTCAAAAGCTAATTTATGAACATTTTTGCTCTTATGCCAAGGTCTTGTCTTTGGATGTACTTCAATGCTTCGCTTCATTGCTAATCCATACGTGGAAAGGCAATTCACGTGATAATGGAATACTTTACTTGTACTTAATATCTCGAGAATCCGAGCATCTCCCTTTCTTTTTGCCATTTCTTTTAACTTACGCACGGTTTTCACGGAATGAGGAAACGTGACAAAACATTTTCGCTTCCCAGTTTTCTTTTGTATACATTGGCAAAATATACATAACTTTTTGTTTACGATAATCGTCTTTGTGTTATCCGATATTTGTTGCGTTGATTTCTGTCCATCACCGGGAGAAAGCTTCTAGAAAAAATAACAAAGAAACAAAATTTAATTATAATAATTTTAATTATTTTTATTTTATTTTATTTTATTTTTATTTATTATTATTTTAATCTTTTTTGTAATTTATATTTTATCTTTTCTTATTTTATTATTAAAAAAATGCCTCATCATGAATCTCGGATACAGAAGGAACTGAAAGATTATTCGATATATTGCTCGACTGACCAACAATTGAATTACCATGATCTTTCTTTTTCATGAACATTCGAAGTATTTGGCTGCACTTCAGTAAATGTAGAAGGATCATTCTGAGAAGTAAATAATATCATTTTTTAAATTAACTTTTTTCATACTTGAATTTTTATTTTTATGAAATTTTTATTTATTTAAATTTTATTTATAACAATTTGACTTGATTACTTTTAAAGTAATCACACATTTCAATAAATGTATTTTTTTATCTATTCTTATATTCCATTTTTTTGTTTTATATTTTTAAATTTTAGATTTTTTTAATTTCAAATCTTTTTTTATTTGATGACATTTAATTTATTTTTTCAATTATTTTTTAATTTTTCATTTTTATTTCCTTTTACTTCAATCATTTAATTTAATTTCATTTAAATTAATTTGACTTATTGCAATGTAAAGTAATAGTATTCATTCAGACGTATATTTATTTAATTTTACTGATTTTTGTTCAATCCTTTAAATTTTATTTTCAAATTAAAATTTTTTCATTTTTTACTTTTTGATTCTTATAAACTTTCAATTCATCAATTATGTACAATTCAATGTAATATTTCTTTTTCATTCATTCAAATAAATTTAATTTACTTAATTTATTATGCTCTTTAATTTCTTCATCTACTTTTTCTCCCTATGTGTTTTATTTGATGTTTATGATTTGTGAATTTCTTATTACTTCATTGATATTTCAATTGATATAAAATGGCAAATAATCTTTGAAATATTGAATTTAAAACGTTAATTCAATAAAATGGAATTTATTCACATTCAATTTCACTAAAATTGTAAATTTATTCAACGTACAGTGTGAAGTGCTGATTTTTTTTTTCTTCTGCCACGTTTTTCCGGGCCATGGATATCAGATTTGAGCTGCTCCTTAAAATATAGACATATTTAGTCCTGTACTTTGAAATTATACATGCAATTGACAAGACATTCAACTTACTGCTTGTGTTTTGCAAAACTCGTTAAATTCTTCTCTGTACTTATGCTTAAGACAACAAACTTTTTTATAACACGCCTTATGATGTCCCACTGTTCTTCTTAGCTTATGTGTCAATGTAATATCACTGTATTTGAAATGTTTTGAATGACGAAATGACAGCATCGAAACACACTTTTCAAACGCTTCATCACTGAATTTTAACACTCTTATTCCCTTATGACCACACAAGAAGCATCTTTTCATTTTGTTGATAACAAAAACAATTAAAAATTACTCAGATTAATGACGTCATTACTTGCTTATTTTGATAAAGTTATGACAATATGAGGTTCATAACCTCACTTTTAAAGTGAGTTTCTACGAGATTCAGTAAGCACACGGTCTCGATCTTGTGTAGTTTGTAGATAAAAACTCAGTTGAGTATCTCCCTTGTCAGAATGTAAAAAAAACGCGTATTCAATTGAGTTTTGATGATAATTCTCACAAGTGAGAATTATCTGAGAATCAATACAAATGGAAAGCAACTACTGTGACGTACATACATATAAAGTCGTGTGCGCATGTCAACCGTCAGTCGCTGCATCCTTGTTCACCACTCGGAGCCACGCCTTCACTTCTTCTCTCTCGAATTCGCTTTCGTCGGCAGGAGCGATTTTTTAAAACGATGGCACCCCTCACTTTGGACCAGATTTTAAAGGCAACCCTATTCCGTCGTAAAGAATAAACATTAAGCTTTGATCTAGTGCAAAAATTATTGAACTACGCGATAAATGTCTTTAATGAACAAAACCTACCTTTTTTACCCTGGCTGTTTTGTGATCACTATAAAGCACCTACCATTTTCATAATCTACAAATCCCCCCTTTCCAACTTCCTTAGTTTTATTAAACATATGGGTCATTCTTTCAAAATTTTTTAATCAAAAACGTCGTAATTAATGATATTCCTGATCACTTTTTTTTAGGCACCTTTGGGGTTTAGTGTTGCCCTCAAAACACGTACTTCGACTTTTTAAATACTTATTTCCTCTGCATACGCGATAGATGCGCGGTGGGATCCTGGACTATCCATACACTTCACATAATCTTTCTCTTGCTTGAACAGCATTCTTACGTTTTCGATAATAAAAAAGTAAAATATACCGAAAATGCTCCTTTTTATTTTCCATTTTTAATACACCTAAAAAAAAAACAATTGCACAGAATCAAAAAAATGAAGTTGGCTGGTTAAAAGTACAATTAACAACACTCGGGGAAAAAATTACGAAATTACTCTTTTCGAACAACCTAATAGTTAAAATAATACATTAAAAAATTTTTTAAATAAATTTTTAAAGATTTATACACATTTGATTTTATTTTATGTCTTTATGTGAAACAAAATCATTATATTATATTAATTAGTATATTATATAATCAATTTATTCAGCTTCTATGACAAATGAAAAAATACATAATAAAAATTGTTGCAAATTATATTTAAAGAAAAAAAATTTTGTTTTCGATTTTGAGTGCTGTTTTGTCGAAACATATTTTCTTTTAATATACTTTACAAGAATTTTTTTGAAAGAATTTGTATATTCTCGTTTCTTAACGTTCTGATAATTGAGATAGTATTGATGAGTAAATAAGAGACTTAAGATATTTTTGATAGCGTTGCCTTAGTAAATCGATGTACTTACTGCGGTTGATATAAGAAATTATTACTTTTTCACGTTAAAATATGTAGTTGAAAATGTAAAACTCTTATAGTTTACATACACAATTATACTTTTTAAATTACAAGAAGTTATATAAATTACATGTGCAGAATTTGTTATTGTATTTTCTCTATTTTCAATATTACTGACATTTCTAACTACTGTTTAATTCATTTTTGAACTAACTAATTTGATTTTTTTCTCATATGTTGTTGTAGAGAAATGCTACAGGTTTATATAAAATTTTCAACTTATAATAAATGAGTTATGAATAGGAAAAATTTTATCCATTCCACTGTATTATCATTATAACGGCACTACTAATTACAATTTATTGTTAGATTGCAATAGCTCTCTGAATTTATAGAAACAACAGGTTTAGAACCGCAGAACTTTGGCTCGTTTGAAATTCATTAAAACGACTGGCCCCATCGTATACATATATCACGGATTACACTAGACCGCACTACGTTATATACGTATTGTGTTCATTGAACGTGCGCAATGTTGAAATTACACGTTACATGATATATCGCACGATCCACTGAATCTATTATGAGATATAGTTATCCATTCGCGGCAAGGTGGATTATTCGTGATGCGATTCTAAATCAACTCGCTCGTTAAAGAAAATCTCTCCGTATCGTTTTATTTATGTATACTCCGTTTTTGTGTATCATGGAAGAAAAAACTTGTCTTGATTATAGAATACACACATGTATATGTTTAAATTTCACCGAAAAGTTGTTTGATCGTACGAGTTTTATGAACGAAGTAAAACTACTTACATAATTAAAGTCACTAGCAGAAGGAATATGCAATGGAAAGCAAACATCCGATAAAATTAATCAAAAAATTTCAGTTGTTTATAGAAACGCCAGTTAGTTTTATTAGCTTTCGCTTCATTTAAATTTTGTTATAAGAACGATCGAATAAAATAAATTAACATAACGTAGTAAAATAAACATTGAAAATACAGTATCTGCTTATACATAGAATAAAGTTAAAGTTATATGAGTTAAAGTTTAAGTTTTCTAAGGATAAGATTGTGGCGATGGAGAGGAATATGATGGAAGATAAAATCTTCTTAAAGGAATTTTAAGAGACGTAGAAGTCATAGAGTTTTAAAAAGGACAAGTCACGAAGTTTGCGAGATCCCATCGATTCCTTCCAATTTGCGAAGATTAAAGATCAATTAGATCCCGTATGAGCAATGACGGTACTTTATTTTAACGAAGTCATAGGTCCTGGAATATAAATGAATCCGGCGATTAGTTAGTAAGATATATGCATAATCATTACAAATTTTAACAGCGCAACGGATATTGTTACATCGTTCTTTTTTTTTTTTTTTCTTTTCTGCGGTACTCCCAGGAAGAGTCGTATGAACGTATCCGGTAATTAGCTGGCAAATTAGACACTCTATCATTAAGGGGGTTAAATTACTGCTAGAAGATCGCCATTGATCATTAGTACTAAACCACCGTTTTATCTTGACTCTTGCACTGCGTTTGAATTATAATGATCATTAAAAACGTAGAGAGTTTTGCGTAATCGTCACGAACAATTGGTAATTAATGCAACTATGATTATTACTTTCCTCTATATATTATAATATATGTTTGCCTAATAATGCATTTTATATCTGAGAATTTATGAAAGGCGTATTATTGGAAATATTACCAGAATACTATTAATTGGCAATAAAAAGTGTTAGATCCCCTCCAGTCTTTTTGACAATTTTTTACATACAATAGCAATAAAATATTGCGTATTATTAATTTTCTGTTTTATAACGGATTAATATAATAAGTGTATTATATTAACATTTGGTATTAAATATATTAAATAATAGAAAACAACAGAAGTTATAAATAAAAATAGTGTATAATAAAGTCATTGTGTTTAAGCTATATATATTAGGTTATTCGCGCGCTCGCGAAAAGTTCGTTTTAAATTTTCTAGCACAAAATAGTAGATTGTACATTTAAAAAATTATTCCACTCGATAGAGCAAAGTTTTAGTTTTAAGGTGATGCTGGACCCGCCTGTATTATCGATAAAACTAGTGTTTTTAATGTTTTCGTTCCTGTCTAATCTCTTCATAATGGTTTCGCAGAATAAAAATTTCCACGATTTAAATATTCATGCTAATATATCTGCCCCTGGTCTATATTATGTCCAAAGCTGGAAAAATATAAAATTACAGATTTCTTTATCCATTTTTATCTTCAGCGTTGGTCGCCATACTGAGCTTAAATGAATAAAGAAATCTGATTTCATACTTTTTGCAGTTTTGGACACAAAATACACCAGGGACAGGTACATTAGCCTGAATATTTAATATAAATCGTGGAGATGAAATTTTTATTCTGTGAAACTATTACGGAGAAATTAGACAGGAACGAAAATGTCTAAACGCTAGTTTTATCGGTAATACAGACGGCTTCAGCATCCTCTTAAGAATCTAATTTCTTAATTGCGGTACGATAATTTTTAACGGAGTTATGAGTAATTAAAATCAAAATGTTCCTTTACTTAACTCGTGAATAACTCAGAATCAAAAAATCGTAGAAACATTTTTAAAAAACGATTTTGTAGAAAAAGTTTCTAGCTTTCACGATAGGTAGTCGAACATTTTCAAAACTTTTTTTAGGGTGGCACGTGAAAGATCTACAAAATGAAAAGAAAGGTTTCATATTTTTCTGCTCATCATTTTTTATATGTTAAACATTGTAAAACTCACAGAAACTAAAAAAATATGTAACTTTTTGAAAGTAGAGATTTTAAACTTTAAAACCCTTTTTTTGAATTCAAATTTTGTTCATTTTTTACGAAGGTATATATACTACAAAATTGTTACAAAATTAAAACGAACTTTCCGAATTAATAATTTCCAAAAAAATGTATATTTATTCCAAAGAGTGTACATGATATGTACTGGCATTGTGAAAATTATTTTTATGTTGACAAAACGTGTGCACCATTATATATTATTATTTAGAGATAAATCAGCCATAGAATAATTTGGACAAAATTTTGCAGTGTTGATGATGAAATTTTGTGGCCATTCGGCGAAAAACGATACAAAAAGGAACGTGTGTTCCTAGCGCACGTGTTTCACGATGCTAATAGAAGTGATAATTACGAAATATTACATGGTGATAATGACGCAGTACTTTGTAATTTGCAACAACGCATCCATTGCCAACCGAGGTTGGAAACAAATTCATCATATATAACAAAATTAACACATTACGACGGGTCGTGTGAATTTTATTTATTCAAAGATGTCTCTTTCTGTATCTTAAATGCGTTTCATTTTTCTCGTGTCTTAATTAACTCGTTAACAGTCGTTTTATTGCTACGCTGCACATACGTCTTGTGATGATTAAACCCGCTAAATATCCGCACCAAAGAAGACATGCGTGTGCAGCATTCACGAGTCTTTCGCAGAGACCATAACGAAGCAGTACTCGTGCATCGCGATGCATTCTGCTCTATATAGTTTAAAATATCATTTTCTGTGAAATATGAGTTTTTTAAAGAATAATGTTTCTTTAAATAAATAATGAA